TATATACATAAATATAGATTTGTGTGTGTTGTATATCAGGCTGCATCATCTTTACGTTTCGGTGGTTTACAAACCCTAATTGGTGGTTTATCTCCTTTAGTTAGTTTTTTATTGGGTTTATTTGTTTCAACTTCTCTCTCTCGTTGGTGGTCGCTGCGGCAGCATCTTGCTGCTATTGCTGCTGCTGTTTATGATGTTATTATACTCGCCAGCTGCCACCTAGAGATGCAGCAGCAGCAGCAGCAGCAGCAGCAGCAGCAGCAGCAGCAGCGGGAGGAGCAGCAGCAGGAAGAAGAAGAAATGCAGCTGCAGCTGCTGCAGCAGGAAGAGAAACAGCTGCAGCTGCGGCAGCAGCAGCAGCAGCAGCAGCAGCAGCAGCAACAGCAGCAGCAACTGCAGCAGCAAGAGGGAGACAGTAACAACTGCTGCAACCATGCTGCAGCAGCAACAGCAGCAACAGCAGCAGCAGCAGCAGCAGCAGCAACTCCTGCTGCAGCAGCAGCATTTCCTCTGAGCGCATCAGCAGCAGCAGCAGCAGCAGCAGCAGCAGCAGTTCCCCCACCAGCCCCACCACCATCACCAGCAGCAGCAGCCCAACCACCATCACCATCAGCATCATCAGCAGCATCATCAGCAGCAGCACCAGCACCAGCAGCAGCAGCAGCAGCAGCAGCAGCAGCAGCAGCAGCAGCAGGAGAACCCTACTGGATCAGCAGCAGAGAGAGAATACTGAGGAGGGTTTTGCGTTTGGGGTGTTTAAGCTTTCATCTTGTCTTTGATGCTGCACAAGCAAACCAGGACCTACACTACCTCACCCGTAAACCCTAAACCCTAAACCCTAAACCCTAAACCCTAAACCCTAGATAGCATACCTAGTTTGTAAACATTAAACCCTAAACAGCGGGGGGTTGTTTTGGTGTTCAAGGGTTTAGGGTTTTAGGGTTTGGGTATTGATAAGCATGTTAGGGTTTGTGGTTAGGGTTTAGGGTTTATGTATATGATGAGGGTTTGTGTATTGTTGTATATATGTATGAATTAGGGTTTACTGTAGATACATATAAACCCTAAACCCTAAAAATATAAGGGTTTGTATATTCACGCTAACCCTAAACCCTAAACCCTCATTGAACATTATGTGTATATAGAATTGCGCCTGAGAAAAAAAAACAAGGGTTTAGGGTTTAGGGTTTAGGGTTTATTGATGCAGGCGAGGGTTTACTGTCTCCGGCGGAGAGGGTTTGTTTTCTCTAAGGGTTTATTGTTTAGGGTTTAGGGTTTACGAATGCACCCCCAGAAAGGGTTTGTCTCCTCTAAGCGCTTCTTGTTTAGGGTTTAGGGTTTAGGGTTTAGGGTTTATGTATGCAGGCGAGGGTTTACTGTCTCCGGCGGAGAGGGTTTGTTTGGTTTAAGGGTGTATTGTTTAGGGTTTATTGTTTAGGGTTTAGGGTTTTATGTATGCAGGCGAGGGTTTACCACCGCCCGCAGAAAGGGTTTCTTTTCTCTAAGGGTTCAGCTCTTAGGGTTTAGGGTTTAGGGTTTAGGGTTTATGTATGCAGGCGAGGGTTTACTGTCTCCGGCGGAGAGGGTTTGTTTAGTTTCTGTATTTATTGTTTAGGGTTTAGGGTTTACGAATGCACGCCCAGAAAGGGTTTGTCTCCTCTAAGGGTTTAGGGTTTAGGGTTTAGGGTTTATGTATGCAGGCGAGGGTTTACTATCTCCGGCGGAGAGGGTTTGTTTAGTTTCTGTATTTCAAGGAAAACCCCAAATGCCGTGGATGTGGTTAGCAGCAACCGGCAGCAAACTAGCGAGAAAGGGTTTGCTGCTGTTTGCTCCGAATATAACAAGAAGGTGGATGGAGATATGTTCTCGAGTATAAACCCTAAACCCTCATAAACCCTAAACCCTCATAAACCCTAGATAATAATATATAGTAGATAGTAGATAATAGGTTATTAGCAGCAACCGCAGCAAACTAGCGAGAAAGGGTTTGCTGCTGTTTGCTCCGAATATAACAAGAAGGTGGATGGAGATATGTTCTCGAGTATAAACCCTCATAAACCCTCATAAACCCTCGTAAACCCTCATAAACCCTAATAAACCCTAAACCCTAATAAACCCTGTACTGCCGATTCATTTTCTTGTTATTTTGTGTGTGCCGTGTGTGCTGTTGCTGCTGCTGCTGTTGCTGCTTCTCCCCCTCCTCTGCTGCTGCTGCTCCTCCTCCCCATCCTCTGCTGCTGCTGCTGCTGCTGCTGCTGCTGCTGCTGCTGCAGGGTTCAGCGGGTGTGTCTCAGTGTTTAGCATATGTACAAACCCCAATTCCTTATTCTTATATGCATTTGCTGCTGGTGATGATAGCACTAACAAATACGCTGCTAGCTGTTGCTGCTGGGCTCGAAGCAGCAGCAACACTGAGTAAGCTGCAGCAGGCGTGGAGTTCGTTTGACCCAGAAGCAGCAGCAGCAGCAGCAGCAGCAGCAGCAGCAGCAGCAGCAGCAGCAGCAGAACGAGCACCTATACCGTGTGACCTATCAAATTCACCGTCTGCATCAGCAGCAGCCGAAGCTGCAGCAGCTGCAGCAGCAGCAGCAGCAGCAGCAGCAGCAGCAGCAGCAGCAGGATCAGGGGCTGTTCTACCCCCACAAACCCTCAGATCTCTCGTATGGGAAGCAGCACAAGGCCTCTGCGTGCGGCTGCTGCTGCTGCTGGTCCTCCCCACCTTCTATCATGGTGTCTTCGATGCAGCACAAAGAATCAATAACCCCTTCGGGTACTAAACCCTAAACCCTCATAAACCCTAAACCCTCATAAACCCTAAACCCTAATATATATATGTGTGGGTGTGGTTGTATGTTACACACAA